TGGCTATGAGCCGGGACGTGCTGTCGCAGCTGCAGCGCATATCCGGGCAGCAGTCTCGCATCCGGGACATGAAGAACAAGCTGGCGGCCTTTCACGAGGTGTTGAGGCGGCAGGAGGCGGCGTTTGCGGAGCTCAGGGTGGTGCACAGGTGGGGAGGGGAGAGGGGGGAGGGGAGGGGAGGGGGAGGGGGAGAGGGGGGAGGGGGGAGGGGTTAAGGGTTCCCCACCACCACCACAAACATGTAGTTGGGCACTCAGGTGGCGCTACCTCCGCGCGGTCCGACAGCAAATAAGCCGCGTTTCTTTACCCCACCCCCGCGCCCATGCGCCTCTGCCCTTCCCCCTTTTTTCTTGTCTTCTCCTCCTCGTCCTTCTCCTCCTGCGGCTGCTGCTATTGCTGCTGCTGGTGTACCTTTTCCTCCTCTCTTCCGACGCCGCCTTCCATCCCCCCTTCCCCCTTCCAACACCCCAGATTGCCATCCGCCTACAGAGCTGTCCTAGCCGAGGTGGTACGGCGGAGTGCCTGGCACCAACTGTACTGCGGTCAGGTGGGTCGCCGGGGAGAGTGGGGGGGGGGAAAGGGGGAGGGAGGAAAGACGAACTACACACGATTGAAGTTGCTGCCAGGGCAAGAGTGTATCAAACGTAGAACTGACCGAAAGGCGTCCGTGAAGACCGCGACCTCGGGATGACGAAATGAAGAAGATGTCGGAAAGACTACCTACCTAAGCCGCCATGACTAAAAATGCAGAAGAAATAGTTTTGCCAAGCCGTAAAGAAGTAGGTGTAGAAAAGTAGGTGTGAAGGCGGCGGAAAAGTAGTAAAGCAGTGCTGTCGTAAAGCTGGCATAAAGTTGCTGGCCTGGAGAATTAGCTGATTTGCTGATACTGAAAGGCTGTCGGTATGCAAGTGCTCCTCCCAACCCCCCAAACTAACCGACCCGACCGACCCGACTATCCTAGTCCGGCTAGCCGTCCGACGCCAACGCGATATACCGAAGAAGCTCGAACCACCCTTTGGACTCACCTGGCCAGGCAGCAGAAGCAGCGGGCAAAGGCACATGCGAAGGGGGGGGAGGGGGGGGGCACCAGCCAGTTTGGCGCCAGGGCAGGGTGGGGTGGGGTGAGGGGGCCTGGAGAGCCGGTACTGGCAACACCAGATGAGACTGCCGACGGAGAGTGCTCGCGGGGGGTGCCTCTGGTGGGAGGGGGGGAGGGATCACGGGGTCTGGTTTTCACGGAAAGGGAATGGGAAGGGACGGGGTGGTGCTAGGAGGGAAGGGGCCGAGCGAGTGGTTAGGTAGGTGGGTAGGTAAAGGTATTGTGTATATGTATGTATGCAAGTATGTATGTACGGGGTAGGTAGATAGGGGGAGGGTGCCATTTTACATCGCCTTTACCCCATACATACTCCCTTCCGGCTACCTTACCCCTTTTTACTCTGCCGCTTCTGCTACTGTCGCTACTGCTGCTACTGCCATTGCTGCTACTGCCGCCGCTTACTGCTGCTACTGCCGCTACTGCTGCTGCTGCTGTTCTTGATGATGAGCGCAGGCGGGGCGACTTGCCGAGCACATGGCGCGATTTCGTGACAAGGAACTGGGCCGCCGAGCAGCCTTCGCCTCGCAGGTGGCGAGGTACATCCCCGGGGAGCTGCTGTCACGTGCGGGTTTGGTTTCGGAACCGCCGTACTGTCAGGTCACCGTACCACCCCCCGACGTGCCGCTCATCCCCGTAGCGCTGGATGACATCCAGCGTTTGTCGTACTTGGACGAGCGGATGATGACGATCCTGATGGCGGCGAGCAGTACGAGTAGCGCCAGTGCGATGCGCGCTTCTTCTTCGACGGCGGCGGCGGCGGCGGCGTCGCCGTCTGAGTTCCAACAATTTCATCCCCCCCATCCGCATGCTCATGCTGCTCGAACCCAGCAGCATCAGCATCAACAGCAGCATCAACATCCTGGTACCCGGCCTTCACTTAGCGGTCTTATAGATGCGAAGGCCGGCGGGTATCACCACCACCAGCATCACCACCACCAACATCACCACTCGCAAGCCAGTAGTCGCTTGTGGGGAGGAGGAGGAGAAGGAGGAGGCGGAGGAGGCGGAGGTGGTGGTGCCTCGTCCTTGCGGCTACCTGGCATCCAGGCTGTGCTGGATGCCGATCCGCCGCCCCCCACGGACAGGGCAGCAGGTACGACAACACAGCCCGTCGCGCCGCCAACCGCCTCCCAACTACCTCTTAATAACCGCTCTCAAAATTTACGAACCCTCACGAGGTTGTGTTCTGGCGGGGTATTGGATGCGACTAGGCACCGAATGTACGGCAGCAGGTAGCGGTTATTGGAGATCTTGAAATTTTTAGCGCTGGCGGTGTAACCGCATCGGTCAGATCTCAGTGTCTAAGACATAAAGCCCAGTAAAGTCAAGTCAAGTCTGTACCAGCACCAGTACCCGTACCAGTACCGGTGCGGCTGCTCAGAAAAGGCGGCCGTATCTCGCAGACACCCCACCACCACCACCACCCCGACGGGTTTCGGAGCATCCCACGCAGCCCCGACGTTTTAATGTTTCCCTCTTGCATCCTCAAAATTCTTCATGTTCGTGTTGTACGTTACCATGGCCTTCTTTTTCCTCCACTCAACCGCCAACCGCCGCGTTTCCAACTGCCGAATTTTGCCCGTTCGCCGGTTGTCGGTTGCCCCTCTGAAATGCAGTCTTGGAAATGGAGAATGCTCGGTTAAGAGCCGAGCTCGCGAACCACATCGCCGCCGCATGCGTACGAGAACTCGCCGCCGCCAGCGGCGGGGCCGCTGATGTACAGCAGTCGCAAACTACGGACTCGGCGGGGGCAGCCACCCCCCGCCAAGCGCGCGTTTCAGGCGGGGGTGCGTCGCCGCCAGCAGCGGCGACGGCGGCGGTGGCGGCGACGTCAGGGTCGCCGTCCACGGCGGCGGCGGCGGCGGCAGGGCGTCGTGACCCAGCGGAAATCTTGGCGGCGATGCAGCGTGCTCTGGGGATGAAGGATGACCTGGTACGGCACCAGCAGCGGGAGATTGCGGCGCTGGCGGCACGAGCAGCGAGGTACGAGGAGCGAATCATGGCGCTGGAGGCCTTGTTAACTGAGAGGGCAACAGACGCCACCGGTGGCGAGGCCGCGGCGGCGGCGCGGCAAGAACGCGTCTCCGACGGCAGCGGCGGCAGCGGCAGCCGGGCAGCCGTACTGTCTGACCGCGACGCCGCGGCGGCAAGGGCGCGCATTGGCGTTGGCGAGCAACCGGAGGCGATATGTACGGAAGCCACCACGGACGCAGCGGCGGCAGCGGCAGATGGGGGTAGCATTTCGACGGAGGTGGAATCGAAGCGTACGGCAGGGTTAAGCACCGGCGTTGGTGACGGAGCCCGGGTTGGGACGGCATCGGTTGATGATGGTGGCGGCGGCGGCGGCGGCGGTGTGGGCCATGGCGTTACCGCAGGCGATGAGCTGTGGGGGACACAGGTCTTGGCGGATGGGGCGGAAGGAAGGCCAGGGGACATGAGACGGGCGGAGATGCCGTACTCAGGCGATCCGGCGGCGGCGGCGGCGGTGGCGGGTTCGGCTCCGGATGGGGCTCAGGGCGGTGAGGTCCTTGGCGATAGCGGGCAAGTACGGAGTGACGGCGGAGAGGTTGCGGGACCCGCAGAAAGCCGGCGTGGCGGCGGCGACAACCAGGCAGCAGCGGCGGCGGCAGCGGCAGCTGTTGTCCCGGGAGCTCCAGCGGCGGCGGCGGGGGGGCCGGCAGTAGTAGCTCTTCGGGTGAATGTGGACGCGGCCGTGGAGGCCGGAGCCGCCTCGACATCGACGGTACCGTTGTCGCCGTTTTCCCTCCTAGCAGCCAAGGAACAACAACAACAGCAGCAGCAGCAGCGGCAACGTGAGGCTGACGGCGCCGCAGCCGCCGCCATCGCCGGCGGGACACGTCACCAACACGATATGGAGGAGAACGATCTCGGCAGTAGCTGTACGATATCGTTGTACGGAAATCGCGGCGGCTCGACAGCCGCCGCTGCTGCCGCCGCTGCTGGCGGCAGCGACAACGGCCAGACACGACGCGGCTCATCTGGGCCGCAGGCCATTCCGCAGCTCCAGGGAGCGCTGCGGCGTGGCGGCGGTGGTGGCGGCAGCTGCGAGGAGCCGCCGGGCTTGCCGTACGAGCCCCGCGACGTTGCCCCGATGTCCATCGGATCCCTCCCTTTCGCGACTTCGTTGCCCGGGGGCTCAACTTTGACGAGTCGTCTTGCGTCATCCCCTAGCGGGCTGGGCTTGGGGCTTGGTTTCGATGTGTCACTTCGGATTGCAGGACCGCGACTGCCTTCGGCAGGTGCACAGCAAATCCGCGAGGAGGCGGAGGGCGGCGGCCGTAGCAGTAGCAGCAGTAGCGGCGGCGGCGATGCGGGTAGCAGTGGCGTCAGGGTGGTCAGTGTTGACGGGGAAGAAGAGGTGGGGGAAGATGTGGAGCGTGGGGAGAGGGAGACGCGGGCCGGACTTCTTAGCGGAGGCGGAGGCGAGCTGCTGAACGGCAGTAGCGGCGGCGCCAGCAGCGGGGTGCTTCAGTTTCAGCCGTCTTGGTCAGCGCCGGCTAGCGGGGACTCGACCGCGGCGGCTGCTGCCGTCCATGCCGTAGGCTGTGACGGCGGTGACGGGGCCGACGGTGACGGCGGCGGCTGTGACGGCGGTGACGGGGCCGACGGTGACGGGGCCGACGGTGACGGCGGCGGCTGTGACGGCGGTGACGGGGCCGACGGTGACGGCGGCGGCGGTGGCGGCGGTGACGGCGGCGGTACTGAGGCCACTGGGGAGGGGGATGCGTCGGCTGCTGCTGCTGGCGTTACATGGCGCTCTGGAGAAGCGGGGATTTCCAGTGGCGACGGAGAGACGGCCGTGAGCGGCAGTAGCAGCAGCAACGGCGGCGGAAGTTGCTTGGCAGCGGCGGTGGGATTGTCGGGAGGTGGCGGAGCGGTCCACGGATCTGAGGACCTCCGCGGCGCGCCGACGGCGGCGGCGGCGGCAGCGGCGGCGGCGGCAGCAGCCGAGGATTGGGGTCGTGGCGAGGAAGAGGACGAGACCACCGCTGCTACTGCCGCCGCAACTACCGTTGGCGACGATGACGTGGATAAAGAGTACGACAAGGAATACGACGGCTATGACGATGAAACGTTAGCTGACGACGTTCCGGACATTGACGAGGTGTTTGACAGCGACGGGGACGGCGCTTGGGAGGTGGCGTCAGCATCGGCGGCGGTGACGGCAGCTCCTACGGGCGCTACTGCTACTGCTGCTACTGCTACTGCTACTGCTGATGACAATGTTAATCCGGATGATGGGGGTGCTGCCAGCGGTATCCTGTGCGGGGGCGAAGTGGCGGGGCACGGCGCTGTGGACGGCGTACCTGCGGTCGCGGAGGCGTCCTCCGGGTCGTACGAGTCAGTGGGTTCGGAGAGTTGAGTGATTCGGGGTGGGTATCAGGTGCACGAGGATGTGTGTGTGTGTGTGTGCGTCTGTGTGTTAATGGCTGCTGGTGGTATTTCGCTGCGCTGTGCTGTGCGTTTTACAGCTAGGAGTGGTTGGTTTGGTTAGGTTGTATACGGCGCACCGGAGGTCAGGAAATTCCCGTGAAGTGGGGTTGAAGGTGAAGGTGAAGGTGGGAGGTTCAATGGGCATGTGGTCCATGGTTCTCTTCTCTCAACACACACACACACACTCACACGCCGGGGGCCGGCGGTGACGTTGCTCCTTTTTGCCCATGGGACGATGGTGACGGTGATGGTGATGACAAGGGTGATGGTGATGGTGATGGTGAGTGTGTTAATGGGGGTGAGGCCCTGGTTGGTGGTCGCGTTCTGATGCTCAGGGGCTTACGGCGGTGCGGCGAAATTGGAGGCTGTGGTGGTGTTGATGACGGCGACAATGAGGTTGATGGTGATGATGGTGATGGCGATGGTGGGTTGGGTGGTTGTAATGGATTGGCGGGGCGGCGGCGGCGGAATCGTCAATCGTTGGATGTGATAGGGACCCTCGGGAAGAGAGGTACGGGTGGGGGGAGAAGGTGTTTTTAGGGTTTTAGGATACGTCAGGTTGGAAAGTGCTGAAACTGTCGAACTGAACCGCAACCGCCTTTATATTCAATTCAATGGCGGGGAGCTTATAAGAGGAAAGGAGAGGTGGAGAGAGTGTGAAGAGGTGTGGAAAAGGATGTGAGCAGTCCGGGGCGGTTAAGGTGGGGGTGTGAGAGAGAGGAGAGACGATGTTGGCCATTGCCTTGGCACCCAATCGTATCATTGGGGATGAGAGAGGACACACAAACGACGAGTGGTGTGCCGATCTATTATGTCGTTTCGTTATTTACAAACAGAGGAGGGGTTTAGTTTCTGACGTTGCGGGGTGCGCTGTGAGGGGGGGAAGAGAGAGGGAGAGAGTGTGTGTGTATGTGTGTGCGCGCGCGTGTGTGCGTGTGTGTGTATTGACTGGACGGATGGGCGATCGGGAGTTGGAAGAGAGCGGTCGGGCGCACTGCACGCCCAGCTTCACGCGCTCGCTACGGCCGTTGCAACAGCGTGTGTCTGTGTGCCGTACTTCGCTACGCCACGCTCACTTGTTGCTGTTGCTAGTGCTAGTGCTGTTGCTGCTGCTGTTAAGATGTGGATTTGGCGGAGGGGGGGAAGTGATGTGAGCAACAGCACGAGATGCAGAATGTCTTTAGGTGTACTGCGGCGCTCCCGGCGGTACAGTAGTACACGGACTAAAACAGTGGTGGCGGTAGTGGTAGGACTTGTAGTTTGATGTACCAGTGGGGTATCAGTAGTATGATACGTTCTACATACATGACGTATTTGCAAATGGCATTTGGCTTTTGGCTCTGTGGGTGTTTCCCGGCTTGGGAGGTTACGGTTGCATTTGGCCTCTTGCTATGTGTGGAGGAGGAGGGGTGCGAGAGATAGAATCATCAGAGATAGTGAGAGGGATTGATTATGAGGAGGTGAGGGTTGCATGGAGGCATAACGTACGGCACGTCGTACATTGACCACATATCGTACATTGGACGAGCACACTCGACGACGACGATGAAATGAAATCGTTGGCTCTTTTCATCTCTCGTCACTCGAAGCTGTGTGCTTGTCGGGGTGTGTGTGTGGTTGCGTTGAGCTCATTCTCTTTTGTACCACACGTCACATCTCTTTGAGAGGGGTGTAATTCCCGCCGTACATGGCCCGCAGAAAAACTCGTGTACAGCAAAACCGTTTTCGCTGAGGGGCCTCAATTCCTGAAGAGTCCTCTTTCGTTTCATCCTCTTGGTCTCCTCTTGGTCTCCTGTATAAATAATGGACTGCGGAAGAGCTTTGGAGGCGTAGCGAGGGTACTAAGTATTAGCCAAAAGAACAAAAATTTTGTTTTTAGTACGTTGCGTGTTTTTCATGTTTTGGTGGTCCAACTAACTATACTGCTGTCGTACTGCTACTGTACTATTATTAACGATATATCTGTAGGTTTTCTGAGAGTAACGAAAGAAAACCAAGGTTTTCTGTGTATTTGCCGAGAGCGTACTCGGCAGTTCGTTGGTGGTACGGCGGGGCCGTACTGGTGAGAAAGTAGGGCAAGTCGCGGAGAGCGCGACGGAAAGAGCAATTTCGCGAGTTAATTTAGTCAGTACTGACAGGTTTCCACTGCGTCGTCTGCCAATTACACCGCCCCGAGGCAGATAACGCAGTCGGTAACCATGTTCCCGTTCCTCGGTTTAGAGGTCGCCCTAGTGGCAATGTTCGCGGGCATCGTTATGATGCCAGCTAAACGTAGAGTCGGTGACCAAGTGGTAGAGCTACAGAAGGTGCTTGCAGACTTACACGCGCAGTTGACCGCAATAGAACAAGCCGACGACTATCAGAAGGCCGCCTCCATGCTGGCCTCTGACCCTCTAGCACGTTTAAACAAGAAAAAATTTTCTACCGCGATGGGCCACGCTTGGGATACCTACGTCGCATTGAAGAGTCAAATGGCGAGTGTCAGCGCGCACATTGCTCAACTGGAGATGACCATGGAGCAGCCAGCTATGAAGGTTCTCGTCTCCGACAAGTCTGGTCGCGTCATGGAGCGCCCATTGAAGGACCTGGACTACGTCAACGATGGCTGGGTCAACAAGTCGGGCAAGGAGCACAAGGCGCTCAAGCGGGAGAACCGGGAGCTGAACCAAATCTACCATGCCCTTCAGAAGGTCAACCGCAACCTGGAGGACGAACGCGAGGCGCGCCGCGATGAGGCCCCACCGGAGCAGATTGAGGAGTTGGAGAAGGCAACTAACGACGCCATCACCGAGGGTGAGAACTTGCTCACGGACCTAAACACGCGGCTGCGCAAGGCGATGTTGGTGGGTTGGGAAACCGTTGAGTCGTTGGACCTCCCTGACTGCTGCAAGTCCGAGGAGGAGCGTAGCAAGTTGTTGTCCGCGCACAAGCGTGTTGTTGCTGAGAAGGAGTGTGAGCGCAGGGGTAACAAGCCCTCGGTGCAGAAGCCGTTCGGTGCGGGTTTCCGTCAGCGCCAGTTCGTGGCGCCCTCGCCCGGCTTCGGCCAGGCCCAGGTCGGGTTCGGGTCCGTGCAGGGCGCAATGCTACCGCACCAGGCGCTGCCCTTCACACCGGGGCTGCAGTTTGGGGGCATGGCCCCGATGAGTCAGGGCGGCGGCAAGCCGCCGCGGGCCCCGAAGCCGACGGATCAGTGCCATAGGTGCAAGCAGTTTGGGCATTTTGCGAACATGTGCTCGAACCCACCCGCGCCACGGTGATGGCGGTGGGCCAGCAGTGCGGTTTGTGCGCGTCGGGGCGCGTGAGTGAGAGTGATTGCGGCCCCGTCGGGGGGTAGGACCTGACTGGCATGTAGCCACAACTTGAGTGTGAACGCCCCGGAGTGGCGTAGCCCTTCGGCGGGCTGGTTGCAGGCCCGCGCGCCGCTGCTATGTGCTATGACGTCCCGGAGAGACGTAGACCCCCTCGAGGAGGGAGTGTCGGACTTTGCCCGGCTCACGGCCGGTTGCCCTTGTGTAACATGCGTTCAGATTGGGCCGGGTCCCACGAGGGTGGTGACGTCGTTCAAGGCGCCGGGTTGCCTGCCGCGTCTGGCAACATCAATGTGAACGCCAACTGGTGGCTGTCGGTCTGCTCCAGCTCGTGGACCAAGCAGTGGGTGCAGCAGGGGTTTCCGTTGTGGTGGAAACAGGCAGGCGTCACACCGCCGCCGAGGGTCATGCGAAATCACCAAGGGGCGCTGGAGCAGCGGGCCTTTGTTACCGAATCCGTCTCAGCACTTCTGGCAGCAGGAGCCGTGCGGCAGGTTCGCGTGCGCCCGCGGGTCGTTAACCCCTTAAATGCGATACCGAAGCCTCGTCAGCCCGGCAAATTCCGCTTACTCCTTGACCTGCGGTATGTCAACCAGTACGTGTACTGCCCAAAGTTCAAATTCGAGAAGCTGACAGACTTGGAGCAAATTATCCAGCCGAACGACTTGCTTATTAGTGCAGACCTCACAAACTCTTATTGGCAGCTCCGGATGCACGAGGACGCCTGCGATTACCTAGGCTTTGAATGGGAAGGTCGCTTTTACGTGTTTACAGTGTTGCCCTTCGGGCTCGTGTCTGCCCCGTGGGCGTTCTCTAAACTTATGCGCGAGTTTTCAGCCTACCTGAGGGGCAAAGGCTATCGGCTCATTAACTATCTAGACGACTTCTTGTTCTTGTTGGGGTCGGATCGCGCCACGGCCGCAAGCCGGCGGGACGAGATCGTGCGTGAGTTCGAGCGGGCGGGCGTCGCCATGAATAAAGAGAAGAGCGTGCTGACTCCCACGACGGAGGTGCGCTGTCTGGGTTATTTGGTGGACAGCGCTAAAGGGGTGTTTGTAGTCCCAACAGACCGTTGGGAATCGTTCCAGGGAGCGGTCACGGAGGCCTTAGCACGGCCTAGCATTCCAGCCAGGACTCTGGCACGCGTCGGGGACACGCGGGAGCATGTACGTG